AGAGAGAGAGAGAGAGAGAGAGAGAGAGAGCGGGAGGGAGGGAGGGAGGGAGGAAGGAAGGAGGGAAATAAATCTCTAGAGAAAAATATTAAGAACATATGATAATTAAAATAAAAATATTGATGAGTTAAATATGCAGAAAAAATATAATAAAAGCAGAACTCATTCCCATTTCAAATGTTTTTCTCTTGCAGAAGATCCTAAAGATTGGATACAGTAAAGTAAAATACAGCCTTTTGAAAAACAATTAGGAATTCAAGTTCATAGCAACAGCTTCCCCCAAGGAAATTTTCTATTGATTTGTAATTTGGCCTTGAATTTGACCTGTGGCCTTCATGTCATGATAATTTGGGTCACTCTGAATATGCCATCCTTTGAACAAGGGCCTCTGCTAATTTTGAATGAATGCAGCTGCCCATTGCCATTCTTCTATTTGCATCACAATATGTGGGAATAAATTTGCAATTAATAAGACATTTCCAGTAAGCAGTCAGATTGAGGAAATGAAGGACGTTTATTTAGTAAGTTTAACAAGAGATACTTCATTTTTGCTTTTTTGGACATAAGAAAGGGAAAGAAAACAGTTTATGTCTGACAACCCTGGTAGAGGCCTGAATTGTACCCTGGGCTACAGCAACTAAAAAAGCCATGTAATCTCAAATTCGATTCTCGTTAAACAAATAAAATAAAATAAAATAAAATATATACAAAAAAATTTATACCAGTCCTAAAAATGTTAATCTTCCTTTCCTCCCTCCCTCCCTTCCCTCCTTCGCTCTCTCCTTCCCTTCTTCCTCTCTTTGGTTCAATGAAAATGAATACTTTTCAGGTTTGATTCACGGAGAGGTCTTACATTTGAAATTGCTGCCAGGCACGATGGTTCCTGCCTGTAATTCCAGCACTTTGGGAGGCCAAGGTGGGTGGATCACCTGAGGTCAGCAGTTTGAGACCAGTCTGTCCAACGTGGTGAAACCCCGTCTCTACTAGCTGGGCGTGGTAGCATGCAGCTGTGGTCCCAGCTACTTAGGAGGTTGAGACAGGAGAAGAGGTTGAGACAGGAGAATTGCTTGAACCCCGAGGCAGAGGTTGCAGTGAGGCAAGATTGCACCACTGCACTCCAGCCTGGGCAACAGAGCGAGACTCCGTCTCGAAAAAAAAAAAGAAAGAAAGAAAAGAAAAAAGAAATTTCCTCGCCTTTGGTGGCCGAGCACGTTAAGGTCTTTATTCCACCTTGGATTGGAGGCTGCATTAATTAGTAATATATTGTCCAGGTAAAGGGAAACAGAGGTCCTATGTGGGTATAGTATACCAGGAAATGAGGAGTCTGGAAGCCCTGCCCTAAGAGAAACTAATAAAGGGACTTCAAAGAGAAGGAAGTGAGGTAACCTGAGGAGAAGCTGGGAGGTCTCTTTTTTTTTTTTTTTTTTTTTTTTTTTTTTATAAATTTTTTTTTTTTTATACATTTGGAGGGGGAGTGGGGGTACTTGGGGGGGGGGGGGGGGGGTTTTTTTTTTTTTTTTTTTTTTTTTTTTTTTTTTTTTAAGACGGTGGGGTTTCACCATGTTGGTCAGGCTGGTCTTGAACTCCCGACCTCAGGTGATCCGCCCGCCTTGGCCTCCAAAGTGCTTGGATTACAGGCGTGAGCCACCGCGCCCGGCCAGCTGGGATGTCTTAACAACTGCTTTGGGATTTTGAATTTGCCCTTTTCACTGTGTATAATGTTCCTTGCCCTACTTTCCACCTGTTGAAAGTTTCCTCATTCTCCAAGGTCAGACTGAAGACATCTACTGTGAAGTTTCTAGAACCTCTTGGGATCCATCTCCCTACTGAGAAACCCTCATAGCACTTGCTACTTATGTTGTAATATCAGTAATAGTCTGACTTATCTAGGTCAGATTAAGTAGTAGGGCCTTGAACGCCACACTAAGGAGTTTAAGCTTTAAGTTTGTAGTCATGGGGAGCCATTATGCTTCTGAGAACAGTTGTGTTTTTGTTGTTGTTTTGAGACGGAGTCTCTCTGTCGCTGGAGTGCAGTGGTACCATCTCGGCTTACCGCAACCTCCGCCTCCCGCGTTCAAGCGATTCTCCTGCCTCAGCCTCCCGAGTAGCTGGGACTACAGGCGCGTGCCACCACGCCCGGCAAATTTTTGTATTTTTAGTAGAGGCGGGGTTTCACCGTGTTAGCCAAGATGGTCTGGATCTCCTGACCTCGTGATCCGCCCGCCTCGGCCTCCCAAAATGCTGGGATTACAGGCGTGAGCCACCGCGCCCGACCTCAGGTGTGACTTAAGACCGACGTTTAGGAAGGTATCAAAGGCAGACTGAGAAGCTATTTCAGGTGAGAAGGGGGTGGAGTTACTCTCTATCTTCTTTTTTTGTTGTTTTTGTTAGCACAGGACTATGGGCCAAGCATTCCGCTTGTTATCCCGTTTCGGAGACGTGAGCCCGGTTACTCTGACACACCGTGGTCCCAGGCGGCCTCTCCGTCCTCACTACCCTCTCTTCTCTCTGTAATTTGAGGGTAATTCCTTCCCCGCAGTCATGCTTTCCAGGTTCAGCAATGACTTGCTACCTGCCACGTCTAGGGATCTGTCTGTACCCTCAGTCCTCACACTCACTTTGAGTCCATAACCTTCTTCCCGAAATGTTTTCTCGCAAATCCCAACTCCCAGACGCTTAAAGCGAAGCTTAATTAGTCAAGGATAGCTATGGGTAGAGACTTGAAGAGATCTGAAGGGTATCTTCGAGCGCTTTAGACTTGAGAGGCCGGTGACAAAAGCTCTGAAGAGACCGGTCAAAGCCTGCGGATTCTTCTTTTAACAGCTCTATTCTCATGCATGCACGCCAAGGCTTGGGGTAACTTTTGTTGTTTGTTTGTAAAAGAAATCGAGAAAGGGAGTGGGGCCCCGCCTCTTTTCTGACCTAAGGGCAGGAGTGAGGGGCTGGGAGGATTACTGGCGGCTCCCCCTAGACGCGCCCCCAGGCGGGCTGTAGACTGGGGCACTCCGGGTTGGTCGAGGGGCGGGGCGCGCCTAGCGGCCAAGCGCGCGGGCGTCGGAGGGGGCGTGTCCCACGGCCGCGCGCGGCGTCGGAGGGGGCGTGTCCCGCGGGCGGCGGCGGCGGCGGCGGCGCGGGCTGGGTGCGCGGCGCAGCGTCCTGTGTTGGAATGTGCGGCTCCCGCGAGCTCGCGGCGCAGAAGCGGAGCGAGCGCCGCCGAGGCCCGGGGCCCCAGACCCCGGCGGCGGCGGCAGCTGAGACCGCTGGGCTAGTCCCGGAGGCTTGAGTACCCTCTGCAGCCCCATTTCTGGGCCTTTTCGGTCCTCGACAGCCCCAGCACCCAACTTTTCCACCCTCCCCCACCCTTCCCCCGAAACTCCAGCAACAAAGAAAAGTAGTCGGAGAAGGAGCGGCGACTCAGGGTCGTCCTCCCCTCCTCTCCGAGGAAGGCCGGTAAGTGCGGCGCGGGGCTGAGGGCTTGGTCGGGGTGGGGGAGGGCCAGTCGGGCGGCGGCGGTGGCGGGAGGGGGAGGGCGCGGAAGGACGCGGAGCCAGGCGCTGTCCAGGGCTGATTTGCAGATACTGTGGCTCTGGCGGCGGCGACCGCGCCGGGCGGGGGCTGGCGGCCGAGCGGGATCGGGTTACACAGCCGCCGCCCGGGGGCTGGGGGCGTTTGTTGGGAGCGGCGCGTCGCCTGGACCCCCTCCCCACTGGAAGCCGGGACACCGCCTCTGTTCGGGCTGGGACGCTTCTCCGAATCTGGTCCTTTGAGGCCAAGGAGCGGAGCTGCTCTGGGCCCTAGTCCTGAAACTTCCTCTGTTTCCTCCTCCAGCCCCCAGGTCCCACCGCAGCCCGGCGCGGGCCCGCGGCCCTCCTGTCCCCCTCCCCCAGAGCCTCTCCTTGTCGCCGGAAGGCGCCGTTGAGTGTGGCCGGGCGGGTTGAGTCAGCCCCGGAGCCCGGGCGGTTCCGCCAGCGGGGCTGGACAGCGATTTCTGTGCTTCTGCCGCCCGGCGCCGCGGGCCCCCGCGTCCGGCCACCGACCGTCCGAGTTGGCTGGGCTGGGGCGCGCGTCCTGCCGGGCGCCGTGGGGGAGTGAAGTTCTCAAACTTCCGGGGCGCGGGGGTGGCGGCTGGCCCGCGTGGGGGCCCCCTCCGGCGCTCGGGGCCCGACGCCTCGTGAGGGCGCCCGCGGAGCCTCCACAGACTTGGGCGTTGGGCGAGCCTCGGGCGGTCGGAGGGGCCTGGGGTCAGTCAGAGGAGCCCAGACGTTGGCTGCGCGGTAACTTTCTTTCCTCTCGGAGGACGGGGACCGGAGGGCTGGGGAGGGGTCTGCCTGGACCCGGGGAGGACTCGGTCCGGCCAAACAGCGCCACGAGCTTGCTCCCCTCCCCCGTTTTAGTGTTGGAGAGCGCAGGAAAAGGCTCAGGACGAGTGTCGGGGCGACTCCTGCGAGTTGGTGTGTAAATGCGTGCAGTAATCGGGCCGAGGCGAGAGGAAGCGAGAGCCGCCCGAGTTTGCAAAGAGCTGCTTTGTGTTTGGTATTTTGAGAAAATGGCCGAATGCCTATTTCAGTTAGGAATGCCGCGGCCGAGGCAGGCGCTGGTGGCAGCAGCACGGAGGAATTCGTGCAGCACGTTGGACTTTCGGGCTGTGCCTGGACGGTCTTCCTAACAATCGTTAAAATTCCTTTTGGGGTGGCAGTTAGGGGTTAGGGAGCGATTAGAAAAGTCGATGTTGGGCTACATTGCCCAGTAGCTTGGGGCTGTTCAGCTCTGGGACAGCCTTCGCCCTCTGTTTTCTGTGATGGCATTTGCTTCCAACTTTAGTTGGTACGTTGAAGTAAACCGGTTTGTGTTTATACACTTGGGTGAATCAGATTGCTTTTTGTATTTTTGGTTTAACTTTGTTTTCTTAGGATTTTTTTCTTTTTTAATTTGCAAGAGAACACTTCATTTGAGAATAGCACCTTTTAGATTGAGAAGTAACGTAGTTAAGAGCTTAGAAAGCCCAACTTGTTTTCAAGAAGGTGATCTTGTAATGGCTTCCACTAGACAAGTAGGCCAAGTCAAGCACAATGCAAGAAAGTTGCGGATTGTCGAGTTGAGTTGCACGATTATTGTATTTGTATTGAGAAGCTTGGAATTCAGTGTTGTAGAATTTCAGCCTGCAGAAAAATAAGTTTATTAATTTTTATTTGTTGAGTTTTGACTAAATCAAACTTACTTTTTCACAAGAAAAGGTGTCCCATAATGTTTTTCTTTAAGCCTCTAGAGTTGTCGAGAAATTAAGAGGGACTGACTGGTACTTTTTCACAGTCGTTTATTCTTTTGGAGTTAGTTGAATTCATGCGAAATCCAATTAAGTTGAATAATTATTACAGGCTTCTACTTTCCAGATGTGTTTGTGTACTTAATAAATGCGCTGAATGGCTTGTGGATTTCTGGGCTTTCTGATTCAGACCATTGAATCAGAAAGGGGGCAATGAGGGGGAGTTGAGAAGACAATAATTTACTACTCTTGTATTGAATTTTTAAAATAATTTTAACAGGAAAAATGAAGGTTATTTTTTATCCCCACCAGAACAATTAAAGTGCTTGCGGGACCACATGCCAGTGGCTGGATGATGAATGAGTTATGACAAACAATTGGTAGAATTGTTTTCTAGGGATAGTAGAATTTTTTTTTTTTTTGTGATTGCAGTAAAGACTGTTGGGCATTAACGACTATTTTAAAGGTTTGTTTTTAATAAGTGAAGTTTATTGAGTTATAAAGATCATATATACTGGAAATTTTTTAAGTTATGAAGAATTACAGTGATGTGGTTTTAAGCCAGTAACAGTAGTGTTTAAACTGGTGCTTTTGTTCTGTTTTGTTTTTAATTCAGAATACAGTTATGGCCACCCAGGTAATGGGGCAGTCTTCTGGAGGAGGAGGGCTGTTTACCAGCAGTGGCAATATTGGAATGGCCTTGCCTAACGACATGTATGACTTGCATGACCTCTCCAAAGCTGAACTGGCCGCACCTCAGCTTATCATGCTGGCAAATGTGGCCTTAACTGGGGAAGTAAATGGCAGCTGCTGTGATTACCTGGTTGGTGAAGAAAGGCAGATGGCAGAATTGATGCCTGTTGGGGATAACAACTTTTCAGATAGTGAAGGAGAAGGACTTGAAGAGTCTGCTGAAATCAAAGGTGAACCTAATGGAATGGAAAACATGGAACTGAGAAGTTTGGAACTCAGTGTCGTAGAACCTCAGCCTGTATTTGAGGCATCAGCTGCTCCAGAGATTTACAGCTCAAATAAAGATCTTCCTCCTGAAACACCTGGAGTGGAGGACAAAGGCAAGAACTCAAAGACCAAACCCTTTCGCTGTAAGCCATGCCAATATGAAGCAGAATCTGAAGAACAGTTTGTGCATCACATCAGAGTTCACAGTGCCAAGAAATTTTTTGTGGAAGAGAGTGCAGAGAAGCAGGCAAAAGCCAGGGAATCTGGCTCTTCCACTGCAGAAGAGGGAGATTTCTCCAAGGGCCCCATTCGCTGTGACCGCTGTGGCTATAATACCAATCGATATGATCACTATACTGCACACCTGAAACACCACACCAGAGCTGGGGATAATGAGCGCGTCTACAAGTGCATCATCTGCACATACACAACAGTAAGCGAGTATCACTGGAGGAAACACTTGAGAAACCATTTTCCAAGGAAAGTATACACTTGTGGAAAATGCAACTATTTTTCAGACAGAAAAAACAATTACGTTCAGCATGTTAGAACTCATACAGGTAAGAGAAGCTTTCTTGTCCATAAGTTCAGTTCTCATTTCTGATTGTTGAGTGGTTAGTTGAGGAAAAGTCCTTGAGGAAAAGGACTCTGGTTCAAATCCAGGTTCCATTATTTGCTGTCTTTGTGACCTTGCATGAGTTGTTTAACATCTTTGTTCAGAATTTTCTCCGTGGAGTAACAACATCTAGGATGGGAGGATTATGTGAAGTTATGTGTAAAGCACAGAGTGTTATCTGGGAGGAACAGCCAAGAGATCTTGCCATGCTCTTCCTGAAGTTCATACTCTAACTTGGGATTTACTTTCAGCAAGTTAGACTGCTTTTAAGTTTGTTGATGGCTGTGTCTGCTGGCTCATGCCTGTAATCCTAGCACTTAAGGAGGACCAGGCAGGACTGCCTGAGCCCGGAAGTTCTAGATCAGTCTGGGAAACATGGAAAGACCCCATCTTAAAAGAAAAAAGGAAAAGTTCGTATATTTATTTCTGTGACACTGAACACATCTAAGATGCAGTATAATTTCTGAAAGGAATTGAGGGCTTATATAAAAAGGAATACTCAATGATTAACCTTGCATATCTCTACCTAACAAAAGTCTCAAACTTTAAAACATTTGACTTATGAGTTCCTAAAAGAAATGTGAGAAGGTAGTTTTTAAAAGATGGGTGGGATTATCACCAATTGAAACCATTTTCCTGTGAAAGCAAACACACGTAGAAAATGTACTTTTCAGAGAATTATGTTTAGCTTGTTTGAACTCACACTAAGTACAACTATCAAAAAAGTTGAAATTTTTTTTTTTTTTTTTTTAAATGGAGTCTGACTCTGTCACCCAGGCTAGAGTGCAGTGGCATGATCTCAGGTCACTGCAACCTCTGCCTCCCAGGTTCAAGCAATTCTCCTGTCTCAGCCTCCTGAGTAGCTGGGATTATAGGTGCCCGCCACCTTGCCCAGCTAATTTTTGTATTTTTAGTAGCGGCTGTTATCAAACTCTTGACCTTAGGTGATCCACCCACCTCAGCCTCCTAAAGTGCTGGGATTAAAGGCGTGAGCCACCACACCTGCCAGAAACTTTTAAAAATTTCTTTTTGTAGAGATGGGGTCTCACTGTGTTGCCCAGGTTGGTCTTAAACGCCTGGCCTCTAGTGATCCTCCTGACTCAGCCTTCCCTAGTGTTGGGATTATAGGCTTGAGCCACTGTGTACACCAGTCATTCACTTTTAAATTGGGTTTGATTCAGCTGGTGTCCACTGTAGTTTGGTTTTTTTTTTTTGAGACAGAGTTTTGCTCTTGCTGCCCACGGTGGAGTACAATGGCACGGTCTGCAACCTCCACCTCAGAGTCAGGTGATTCTTCTGCCACAGCTTCCTCAGTAACTGGTATTACTGTCTTACGCCACCACACCCAGCTAATTTTGTATTTTTAGTAGAGACAGGGTTTATTCATGTTGATCAGACTGGTCTCAAACTCCCAACCTCAGGTGATCTGCCCGTCTGGGCCTCCCAAAGTGCTTGGATTACACGCATGTGAAGCACTGAGCCCGGCCTTAATTGGGTTTTGATTATTTATTTGAGACAGTCTCAAGCTGTAGCCCTGGCAGTGGTGTGATCGTAGCTCACTGCAACCTCTACTTTCTGGGTTCAAGCAGTCCTCCTACCCCAACCTCCAAAGTAACTGGGACTAGAGACTGCACTACAACACCCACCTAATTTTTTAAAGTTTAAATTGGATTTTAAATATTTGTAATTGAGTGGCCTAATTTTTTTTTTTTTTAAGCCCAAAGTTGTACTGGTTTGTTGTCAAAAGGGCCTAATTTTTCAAAGAAATGTTTTTAACTATTGGTAGCTCATGTGGACATTTCTGTTACATTTTCCTGGTAAGAACTGGTACATTTGGGTCCTTATGAATGGATAGAGTAATCCAGTACTCTACTCTTGGGATCACAAATGAATAGGGGCTGTGGGATGCTGTTTGCCTCAGATCTCCTCCTATAGGACTTACAGGCCCTGGCACTTGCCAAGACTGAACCCCACTGTTGAAGAGGATATTGGGGAGGGGAATTGATACTGCTTTACTGCTTTAAGTGGGGTTGTAGACTTTTTTTTTTGTTTTTGAGATAGTTTTACTTTGTCATCCAGCCTGGAGTGTAGTGGCATGATCACTGCCCACTGCAGCCTTGACCTCCTGGGCTCAAGTGATCATCTTGCCTCAGTCCCCCAAGTAGCTGAGACCACAGATGCATGCCACCACACCTGCCTAATTTTTGTAGTTTTGTAGAGGTGGGGTTTCGCCATGTTGCCCAGGTTGGTCTCAAACTCCTGAGCTCAAGTAATCTGCCCTTAGCCTCCCAAAGTGCTGGGATTATGGGTGTGAGCCACCATAACCAGCTGACGTAATTTTTTAAAATTTATTTTATTTACTTATTTTTTACATCCCAAAGACTTCAAAACTATTAAATGGTAGACTTAAACAGTAAAACTTGCAGGTGAAATTCCATTACAAGAGTGACCTCTGTTACAAGATTGCTAAGCGTCAGCAGATGGATGCCTCATGTGTTGAATGTTTTAAAATTTAGTCCAGTAAAAGAATTTGTAGTCCCTTTGGAATTCATCCTAAGCTGTGATTGATTGTCTCCATGCTTTGAAACCATTCGATTTCAGAAGTAAAGGTCAAGCATTACAAAAATACACAGAGTAGGAAATGAAAGTTGACAGTTTGAATTAGACAGACTGTTAGACAAAACCAACCTCACCTATAATATCTTAAAACGAATCCCAGGCATCATGTATACTAAACTCGTAAATAAGCACATCATATTCATTTAGCTGGGATTACAGGTGCCCACCAGCATACCTGGATGATTTTTGTATTTTCAATATATATGGGGTTTCACCGTATTGGCTAGGCTAGTCTCAAACTCCTGACCTCAGATAATCTGCCTGTCTCAGCATCCTGAAGTGCTGGGATTATAGGCATGAGTCACTATGACTGCCCTGGTTTATTTGGTCTTAATGCTTATTTTTCCCTGGTACTACCTTCATTCTGATTTTTTTTTTTCTTGAGACACAGTCTTGCTCTGTTGCCCAGGCTGGAGTGTAATGGTGTGATCTCAGCGCCATGCAACCTCCACCTCCTGGTGGTTCAAGTGATTCTCCTGCCTCGGCCTGCAGAGTAGCTGGGCTCACAGTCACGTGCCACCACGCCCATCTAATTTTTTTGGTATTTTTAATAGAGATGGGGTTTTACCATGTTGGACAGGCTGGTCTCAAACTCCTGGCCTTTTTTTTACGTCTTGGTAAAAAAAAGTTTTTTGTTTTTTGTTTTTTTTTTGGTGATGTATACATCTTAAAACAATTGGTAGATTGAAGGTTAATACTTTGATTATGTAAATTCTGAAAGTATCTCTGGTGTTATTAAATGCATAATTCTGAAAATTATGGAAAATAAACTCATCTGGTGTAGAAGAGTAGAGAGAGAAAAAAAACAGGAATCACTTAAATTGATAGTGTGCAGGAATTCTCATTTCCACTTGCATTATTAAGTAGCCCAGTTTTCTGATTCACTTACTGGGTTTGTGTTTCTTGTGCCCAGTGTTAGGTGCTGTCTTCTGTGCTAATCTTCAGAACAGTCCATTGAGGAAAATAGCATCTGTGATAATCATGTTTACAGAGGAGAAAACTTGAGATACAAAAGTCTGAAGTGATGTTCCCAAGGTCATATACAAGCATCATTTATAGCCATTGGTGGTGGCTCACACCTGTAATCCTAGCACTCGGAGGTTGAGGCAGGAGAATCGCTTGAACTTGGGAGGTGGAGGTTGCAGTGAGTAGAGATAGAACCACTGCACTCCAGCCTGCGAGACATAGTGAGACTCTATCTCGAAAAACAAGTAGCATTTAAAGTACAGCAGTCTCATTATTCTACAGCTGATTATTTTGGTGATGGTGTGGTTGGGGATTACTTTCATTCAGGCTAACCTCTTTAATTTAGTGGTTTTGTGTTTAACTGGTTCACAAAATCTACTTTTAAAGAAAACCCTTTACCTGTGTGTAACTGAAAAATCAGTAGGTAACTAAGCTTTCTAGAACAGTTATGCCTAGTTTGTAGAATTACACAGATAAAGTAATCTGTTGTAAATAATTTAAGAGTAGGCTGGGTACAGTGGCTCATGCATGTAATCCCAGCACTTTGGGAGGTTGAGGCGGGCAGATCATGAGGTCAAGAGTTCAAGACCAGCCTGGCCGGCATGGTGAAACACCATCTCTACTAAAAATACAAAATGGGCCTGGCATGGTGGCACGGGCCTGTAGTCCCAGCTTCTCGGGAGGCTGAGGTAGGAGAATCGCTTGAACTCAAGAGGTAGAGGTTGCAGTGAGCTGAGATTGCGCCATTACGCTGC